CCCGGTGGCAGAGGGTTTATTTACATGTCTGTCTCCCACACTGCTGTGTGGGCTTCCTGAAGACAGACCCTCTGTCTGTCTGATTTACTGCTTATTCTCAAGACTCTAGGACAGGCCGAGGGAAGAAATGGCGGAAACAGTATACCACATCAGACGCTTCCAGGGCCAGGAAGACCAAGGGAAATGCTCCATTTCTCTCAACTATTCTTGGCCTAAATAGCGTCTCTCATCTGGTCCCAGAATGGCCCGAGAGCCACTCCCTGTGGGAACCAGCGTTGGGGTGGACGCCTCCTTTCCACAGCTTTCCTGGGGCCAGGCCCACTTCGCTTGAAAACTGCCTTCGTGGCAGGGCGCAGTGGCTCAAGTCTGTAATTCCAGCACTTTGGGAGGCCGAGGCGGGTGGATCACAAGGTCGAGAGATCGAGACCATCCTGGTCAACATGGTGAAACCCCGTCTCTACTAAAAATACAAAACATTAGCTGGGCATGTTGGCGCATGCCTGTAATCCCAACTCAGGAGGCTGAGGCAGGAGAATTGCTTGAACCTGGGAGGCGGAGGTTGCGGTGAGCCGAGATAGCGCCATTGCACTCCAGCCTGGGTAACAAGAGCGAAACTCTGTCTCAAAAAAAAAAAAAAAAAAGAAAGAAAACTGCCTTCGCATAATTTAAACCTCAGGGTAGGGTCTATGGGCAGCTCAAGCCCAACCCAGGCAGGGGCAACCTGGAGTGGAATCCCGGTTGCCAGGACCTCGCGATGAAATATGTGGTTCCCTCTCAGCAGCTTCTTGCTGTAGTGGCAGAGAACAAGGGGGTTAAGCCATGTGGACACCTGAGATGGTTGTTTATCTTTCTGCTTTAGTGTGGAGGCTGGGCTTGGTCCTGAGTTGAGGCGGGGATTCTCAGAGACCCTGGCAGCTAGAGACCAGCCAGGAGTGGTGACATAATTTTCAGGGCTAGGACTGGATGTGGTGGCTCATACCTATAATCCCAGCATTTTGGGAGGCCAAGGTGGGTGGATCACCTGAGGTAGGGAGTGTGAGACCATCCTTGACAACATGGTGAAACCCTGTCTCTACTAAAAATACAAAAATTACCCGGACCCAGTGGTACACACCTGTAGTCCCAGCTACTGGGGAGGCTGACGCAAGACAATCGCTTGAACCTGGGAGGCAAAGGCTCCAGTGAGCTGAGATTTTGCCACTGCACTCCAGCCTGGGCAACAGAGCAAGACTCCATCTCAAAAAACAATATTCAGGGCTCAGTGCAAAATGAAAATGTGAGACTTTTGTTCAAAAATTAAGATTTTTTAAAGATGGTGATAGAACATTAAACCAAACACAGACCTTTTTTTTATTTTCATTTAATTTTTATTTTTTGAGACAGGGTCTGCAGTACAGTGGTACAATCATGGCATCATGGCTCACTACAGCCTCCAATTCCTGGACTCAAGCAGTCACCCCCTGCCGCAGCCTCCCAAGTAGCTAGGACTGCAGGAGCAGCAGTATGCCCAGCTAATTTTGTGTGTGGGTTTTTTTTTTTTTTTTTTTTTTTTGTAGATATGGGGCTCTACGTTGTGCTGGGATTACAGGTATGAGCCACCATATCAGTAAGCATGAGCCTTTCTAAATCTATGCAGCCAGCCCTGGTACCAGATAGAATTGAAGCAGGAGTATTCCTTGAGGCCAGGAGTTTGAGACCAGCCTGGGCAACATAGCGAGATCTTGTCTCTACAAAATTTTATTTAAAAAAATTAGATAGGAGTGGTGGTGTGCTTCTGTAGTCCCAGCTACTCAGGGGTCTGAGGTGAGAGGATCACTTGAGTCAAGGAGGTCAAGGCTGCAATGAGCCTGGGTACAAAAAGAGACTCAGGCTCAAAAACAAAGAAACAGAAAAAACAACACAAAGGATCCGGGTCATGAGAGAACCTGGCATATTTAGGGAAATTATTAAGTAGTTCATGGTAGCTGGGACTGGATCGAGATGGTTTAAAAGTCCGGATCATGAATAAAAAGAATGTGTGTAAAGTGCTTGACACTGTGCATAGTAAATGTTCTGCCGTGGTAGCTCACTATAATTCTGCTTTTGTAACCCAAATTAAGGGTTTGGGATTTTGTCCTGTAGTCAATAGGGAGACATTCAAGAGTTTTAAGCCCAGAGTGACTTGATATTTGCCATATAGCCAGATCCCTGTGGCCCCATGGTAGATTATGAACTAGAAGAAAAGCAAGGCTGGAGGATCAGAAGGCCAGTTTGGAAATTAATATGTAGGGCCAGGCATACCAGTGGCTCATGCCTGTAATTCTAGCACTTTAGGAAGCCAAGGTGGGAGAAGTGCTTGAGCCCAGAAGTTAGGGACAGCCTGGGCAACATAGTGACCCCCATCTCTATTAAAAAAAAAAAGAAGCGAGGCTGAGTGTGGTGGTCACACCTGTAATCTTATCATTTTGGGAGGCTGAGGAAGGTGGATCACCTGAAGTCAGGAGTTCGAGACCAGCCTGGACAACGTAGTGAAACTCTGTCTCTACTAAAAATACAAAAATTAGCCAGGCGTGGTGGCGCGTGCCTGTAATCCCAGCTACCCAGGAGGCTGAAGCAGAACTGCTGGAATTCAGCCTGGGTGACAGAGCCAGACTCAATAAATAAATAAATAGATAAATAAATAAGTAAAGCCAAGCACGGTGGCTCACACCTGTAATCCCAGCACTTTGGGAGGCCGAGGTGGGCAGATCACTTCAGATCAGGAGTTTGAGACCAGCCTGGTCAACATGAAGAAACCCTGTTTCTAATAAAAATGCAAAAATTAGCTGGATGTGGTGGTGGGTGCCTGTAATCCCAGCTACTGAGGAGGCTGAGGCAGGAGAATCACTTGAACCGGGGAGGTGGAGGTTGTTGGGAGATGGAGGTTGGGGTGAGCCGAATGCCACTGCACTCCAGTCTGGACAACAGCATGAGATTCAATCTAAAAAATTTAATAAAAATAGGCCAGGCGCGGTGGCTCAAGCCTGTGATCCCAGCACTTTGGGAGGCCAAGGCGGGTGGATCACGAGGTCAAGAGATGGAGACCATCCTGGTCAACATGGTGAAACCTCGTCTCTACTAAAAATACGAAAAAAAATTAGCTGGGCATGGTGGCACATGCCTGTAATCCCAGCTACTCAGGAGGCTGAGGCAGGAGAATTGCCTGAACCCAGGAGGCGGAGGTTGCGGTGAGCCGAGATCGTGCCATTGCACTGCAGCCTGGGTAACAAGAGTGAAACTCTGTCTCAGAAAAAAAAAAAAAAAAATTAATAAAAATAAAAATAATTAAAAAAAAAAAAAAAAGAAATTGTCTGGGTGTGGTGGCTCATGCCTGTAATCCCAGCACTTTTGGAGGCCAAGGCGGGTGGGTCACCTGAGGTCAGGAGTTTGAGACCAGCCTGGCCAACATGGTGAAACCCCATCTCTACTAAATACAAAAAATTAGCCAGGCGTAGTGGTGCATGCCTGTAGTCCCAGCTACTTGGAAAGCTGAGGCAGGAGAATCACTTGAACTTGGGAGGCTGAGGTTGCAGTGAGCTGAGATGATGCCACTGGGCTCCAGCCTGGGTGGCAGAGCGACATTTCATCTTTAAAAAAAAAAAAAAAAAGGATAATCACTACATGGTTTTTACGCTTTACTGTAAGGAAGGACTAGCTGGGGACCCTGGAAAACTTGGCATTCTGTAGATCAAGAGTGACCATGTAATTTATTGTCCAAAGCAGGACTTTTTTTTTTTTTGAGATGGAGTCTCGCTCTGTCACCCAGGCAGAGTGCAGTGGCACGATCTCGGCTCACTGCAACTTCTGCGTCCCGGGTTCAAGTGATTCTCCAAGTGATTCTCCTGCCTCAGCCTTCCGAGTAGCTGAGATTACAGATGCTCATCACCAGGCCGGGCTAATTTTTTGTATTTTTAGTAGAGACGGGGTTTCGCCCTGTTGGCCAGGCTGGTCTTGAATTCCTGACCTCAGGTGATCCAGCCACCTCAGCCTCCCAAAGTGCTGGGATTACCGGGGTGAGCCACTATGCCAGGCCCCAAAGGAAGGCACTTCAGAGAAAAGAAGCAATATTAGTAATTATGCCAGGGCAGCAGGCATAAATCAAGACTGGCCCCTGCCCTTCCAAATCTGAGACAGAGCCCAGGAGTCCGGTTTCCCATCCAGCCTCTTATCCGAACCGGAAGCTGTGCCGGTTCGGATAAGAGGGCAGAAACTGCTGTGCCTATAAGCTGGCTTATTTCTGGAAGGCTCAAATCTACTTACTTTGCAGCAATGCTGACACGCCTGTGAAATGATCACAGCTAACACTGATTCAGCACTTAGGAAGTGCCAGGTATTGTGCTGAGGACTTTATATGCATCACCTGAGTTAATTCTCAGCAAACCTTTATGAGGTAGGTGGATTTATTATCTTCCATCGAGGAAACTAAAATTTAAATTGGTTAACTCCTTCAAGGTGGAGCTGGGGATTAAAATCAGATGAGGATCTGAACCCTCGTTCTCAATTACTCGTTATCAGTGCCTCCGTTTGTCTTGAGCCTCCCCCGGCCGGCCCCCACGCTGAGTGCAGCCGGGACCACAGACACCTGAGAGGCTGCCCGGCGGGGGCACCTGCAGCCTCTGGCTCCACACAAGCGCCGGTCTGACAGCAGCTGGCAAGCTTGTTCTCTTCTCAAACTAGCACTGGAAGGGCTGCTTACTCGGGAGGCCAGAAGTGGGTGGAGATACTATTCTGACGCCTGCGGGCCCCTACCAAAAAGAATCCCGCAGAGCCGGAGGAGCATCTCACAGCTGCCCGTTCCCTGCCAGGCTACCCTCCGTAGCCGGTTTGAAGGCTCAGTGAGGCTTTGAACCGCAACTAATAGCCACCGATATGTCAGTGTTGGAAAGGCCCTATGATGCAGTTGATTTCCCATCTTTACCCAAAACCATCTCTATTACATGCCCCCACAAGGCTAGTAGTTCCTTCTAGAACATTTACAGCTTGGGCTCGATGTGCATGTACCCGAGCATGGGGCAGGGCTGCATAACATTCCGACACCACGCAGCACAGAGGCGCAGAAAAGGCACTAGACTGACCGGAAGTGGCAGAACCGCGCGGGTACCAGGACCCAGGTCTCTGCTACGTACGGAGCCTGCGTCACTAGGACTCCTCCCCTGGGCCGACGGCCGAGCCAGAGACCCCAACAGGTTCTAAGACGGTCCCACGCCCCCGAGTGCGCACGCTCAGTCCAACCCCGCCGGGCACCGCCCACCAAGAGTATGCGGCTCCTGCGGGTGTGCCGGCGGGGGAAACTGAGGCGGGGGCGTGCCAGTGAATTCATTCCTTCCTCAGTCCACCCGCAGGCCTACAAAGCTCTCTCCCTCCTCAGTGTCCCAAGGAACAGCAGGGACAGGACGGATGGGAGGAAGGGGAGGGGGCCGAAAGCAAGCTGGGTGCGAGAAGACAGCCGACCCTGCCACACTCAAGATGGCGGCGAGGCCGTGGCGAGGTCCCTCAGAGGCGGTGCCAGCGCATGCGCAGCGCGGAGTCCCGGCCCGGGACACAAGATGGCGGCAGCGGCGCTGGGGAGGGCGAGGCGGAGGCGGCAAAACGGGCGGTCGAGCAGAACGTGTAGCCGCGTCCCCTCGAGTCCGCTCCGGGCAGGTAAGAGTCCCAGGAAGCCATGGTCCCGCAGCGAGCCGCGCCAGGGTCTGGGGATCCGAAGCCGAGCGACGGCGGCCCCTCCGGCGCTTTCTGCTCGGGGCTGTCGCTTGCCCCGGCTCTGTTGCCGCCGCCATCTTAGACCCGCGGGTGGGCAGCCGCGCCGGTAGCCGAGGTGAGGGAGGTGGGCCCGGAGTGCCCGAGAGGAGCGGCCTCTAGAGCCCCTCCGCTGCTGCCGCCGCCACCGCCTTTGTGTCGGTCTCCGACTCTTGAGTCGCCTCAGCCCGGGGGCGGGAGCGCGCGGCGGGGCGGGGGGCGGAGCCCGGGAGATGGGCCGGCGCGCGCGCGCCAAACAGCCCATCCCCACTAGGGGCGGGGGGCGGGGGGCGGGGGGCGGGGGGTTAGGTGCGCGCGCGCGCGCTGGGGTTCGCCCCCTCCTCGCCTTCGCGCGCTCTGGCGCCTGCGCACTTTGTTAGCCCTTTGACTCCGCCCTACTGGGCCGGAGAATTCTGACTGGTACGTTGCGGGGATGGTCCCGCCCCTCCTTCCTCCAATCCCGGACTCGGATTCTGGCTTCTGGTGGGTTCCTCCGGTTGCGCAGATAGGTGTTTATCCTTGAAGAGCGGTGATTCTCAAGCTTCGGTATGCGTGGGGGTCGGGAAGCCACAGGATAAATAAAAACCTTAAGAGCAGTTATGTCTTACTGAGAGCGCACAATACTGGACTCTACGCATAGCGGTCGAGTGATTCCGGTTTAAGAGCCGGAAAGCAGAAGAAGGGCCCCGAATCCGGGTCTGTCCAACTCCAGGGCTGCCGCTTTGGTCAGAGACCTGCGGCACTCAAGTCACGTGGGAAATTAAAAATGGTTTTAATCGCAAAAAATGGGCAAATTTTTTCAAATGGCGTGAAAAAGTGAGTCATCCTGTTTCCAGTCACTCTTAGGGTGCGTTTTAAAAATACTAATTCTTGTGTGCCTCCCCTCCGTATTTCTGGCTCCCAATATCCGCAGAGAGGCACAGGAGTCTGAAAATATGTATGTATATTTTACAAACCCCGAGATGATTCTGATGCACAGCTGGCTCTGGAAATGCTGCAGTGTCCCCATTCGGCCTCACACAAGCTGTGCCGCTTGTGCGTAATCTGCAAAGTTCATCTACCCAGTACATCAATACCACAGGATGTTTTGGGACAAATATTTTTCAATAAAGGCAAGCAAGATATGTCACATAATGTGTTTGCATGTTTTTATTTTTTGCAAGACATTATTCAGAGCGTGTCTTTCACTTGCTGTGGGAGGCTTGCGATTGTGCCCCCAGATCAATATGTATGTATGTTGATTTTTCTCTGGTCTAAGGGTACTTTATTTTTATTTTTATTTTTATTTTTTTATTTTTTTTGAGACGGAGTTTCGCTCTTGTTACCCAGGCTGGAGTGCAATGGCGCGATCTCAGCTCACCGCCACCTCCGCCTCCTGGGTTCAGGCAATTCTCCTGCCTCAGCCTCCTGAGTAGCTGGGATTACAGGCACGCGCCACCATGCCCAGCTAATTTTTTGTATTTTTAGTAGAGACGGGGTTTCACCATGTTGACCAGGATGGTCTCGATCTCTTGACCTCGTGATCCACCCGCCTCGGCCTCCCAAAGTGCTGGGATTACAGGCGTGAGCCACCGCGCCTGGCACTTTATTTTTTGAGAGGTGAGGTCTTGCCCTGTCACCCAGGCTGAAGCACAGTGGCATGAACATACCTCACTGTAGCCTCGAACTCCTGGGCCCAGATGACCCTTGCACTTCAGCTTCCTGAGTAGCTGGGATTGGAGGTGCAAGTTTTTTTTTTGTTTGTTTCTGTTTTTTTTTTTCTCGGGCCGGGCGCACTGGGTTACGTCTGTAATTCCAGCACTTTGGGAGGCTGGGTGGATCACTTGAGGTCTGGATGGCCTGGCCAACATGGGGAAACCCTGTCTCTACTAAAAATACAAGAAATTAGCCAGATGTGGTTCTGCACGCCAGTAATCCCAGCTACTCGGGAGGCTGAGACAGGAGAATCGCTTGAACCCAGGAGGTGGAGGTTGCAGTGAGTCAATATTGTGCCTTGCACTCCAGCCTGGGCGACAGAGCGAGACTCCCATCTCAAAAAATAAAAAAATTAAAAAAACAAAAAACAACCGACCAAGCAAAAAACTTTGTTGCAGAGCTGGGGTCTCACTATGTTGCCGAGGCAACTTCTGGCCTCAAGAAATCCTCCCACCCCAGTTCCCAAGTTGCTGGAGCCACTGTGCCCAGCCTAAGGGTGCTTGAGTTGGCAGGACTGCCTATAGAGTTTGTGGGGCTCAGTGTAGAGAATGAAAATATGAGCTCCTTTTAAAAAAGTTATTAAACATGTAAGGCAGTGACGGCAGAGCTTTAAACCAAACTCCGGGCTTTCCTGAATATGGGGACCTGTGCAGCCGCACAGGTCAGGTGCCCGTGAAAGCAAGCCTATTGGTGACATTTTCATCCCTGGTGTTCCCTCCTCCCCATTTCCGGCGCGTCCTGCCCTGTCCTGGAGGCTCCCAACTTGCTCTTTGGTTTTGCTCCTCTCGTTGTCCCTGCTCTGCAGCATCCCACAGGTCTGTGACTCTCCATTTTCCTATTTGCTCTCCAGCTGCTGATGCAAGGAATCCCCTGGGCCCCCGTCCACGCCACTGCTGACCAGCCTATCCGCCTGTGCTGAGTCTTCCTGCAGGCCTTTCCTCGCCTCTGTGGGACCCTGTGGGGGTCCATCCGGCTGGAGAAGAAAACCCTCTCATGCTAGTGTTGCAGACCTCAGAGGGTGAGAGAAAGGGGGGACTTCAGTCTTGAAACCTGTGGGCTCAGCCCCCAGGGCACCAGGAATTCTTCCTACCCAGAGAATCAAAGCAGCTTTTTTTTTTTTTTTAAAACCTTGGTCCGTGGTTCTCAACCTTTGTTACCAAGACCCTTATTGTTGTACATATGTCTTTTACCCCCTGCATTTTTATCTGCCAAACTGTACCGCTGGAGGAACCATTCACTTTTCCCTTTCTCAATTAACAAAGACGACTGTGACAGAGTGTGCAATAAAATCAATGTTCCAGTGATTTTTATGATGTCTTCAACAACCAATCAGAGCTTCTGGTCAGCATGAGATAATCGTTGGGACCACAATGAGTCGATAAAATGTCAGCATGAAAAGATAACTGATGTTTAAGCCTGCCTTGTGGTTTTGTGGATAAAACTTTGATGTATTTTGGGTGGTGTGACCTACTGAAAACAGTTCTGTCTCAGCCCCCAGGTGTCTAACAGCCCCAGGCCAGAAGCACCTGAGGCTCATGCTGGGTTTGCTTTGGGATGGGGAGGAGGGAATACAAATCTGAAGGAACTGGCCTCGCTGCTGCTTCTTACAGTAAATATCCACCTGGGGATTATGAAGGGCTGAATTAGATAGTCCTCAGTTGCACTGGCTCTTTTAGCGACAGATTGCTTCCTGCTGTGTAGTGTAAAATAAGGTGGCCAATTAGATTCCATGCCCTTCCCTAGTGTGCTTTGTTCCTTTTAGATTTTACTGGTTGGGAGCGCAAAATCCCATCTCCTCCCGAGTTGTTACTATTTCTTCTTGTAGGAATCGCTTCTTAAGGGCAGATCCTGTTTGGTCTTGTTTGCTGCTCTTGCTGCTTTGTAAATATTTGCAGAATCCATCGTGCACCTGCTGGGTTCAGGTCCTGTGCTGAGCCCTGCAGAGAGCTGAATTGGACCAATTCCTATTCCTGGAAGTTTTAACAGTTTAGTGGAGAGAGAAACTCAGATGATAGACCAGACCATCTGAGCCAGTGCTACGATAGAGTTGTTGACAGCCCTGAAGAGGGGCTCTGACCGCTTGGCCTGGGGAGGGGAGAGTCAAGGAAGGCTACCTGAAGGATGTGAACCCTTCAGAAGAGAAGGCAGAGAAGAGGGGGAGGGGCATTTTAGGCAGAGGAAGCAGCAGGAGTGCACCCATTGAACAGCTGTAATTGCAATTAGATCCCAGGGCTGCTGCTGTGGCACCATGCTGGCCCTTTAGTATAGGACCCTATTGGATTTCTCCATATCCGTGGGTGGTCACTGGGGCCCCTGGGTGGATTGTAATTGGCAGGTGAGGGGTTGGAGCTGACACTCTTCAGTCTCTGTGTGGCAGGTCCTGTGTGGGTGCGGAGATGGCCAATGAGAATCACGGCAGCCCCCGGGAGGAAGCGTCCCTGCTGAGTCACTCCCCAGGCACCTCCAATCAGAGCCAGCCCTGTTCTCCAAAGCCAATCCGTCTGGTGCAGGACCTCCCAGGTACTGAGGGGAAGCAGCAGTTGGGCGGTGGGGTAGGAAGGGCACCCTGGGAGCAGCCCTGACCCTGGTTGGGCCCCATGCCTGTTTGCAGAGGAGCTGGTGCACGCAGGCTGGGAGAAGTGCTGGAGCCGGAGGGAGAATCGTCCCTACTACTTCAACCGATTCACCAACCAGTCCCTGTGGGAGATGCCTGTGCTGGGGCAGCACGATGTGATTGTGAGTGCCAGCCTAGGGTGGGGGGTTTCAGAGTGGCCTCTGGCACCTGGGCCTTCCCCAGATATACCCTGAACAGTTGTTCAGTGCCCAGCCCTGTGCTGGCACTTGCGTATACAATGACAAGCAAGACAGACACAGTCCCTGTCCTCATGGAACCTACACTCAGATAGGGCAGACTGACAGGTGAACATGGTTGTGCAGCTGCTGCACGGTGGGCACTGTGCCATGATGCAGGAATGAACAACACAGACTTGCTCCCTGCCATCGCAGAGCACCCACAGGCTGCTAGGAGACCGTGCAATTACAGTTGTGGTCCTCGTATGAGGAATAGCGTCCGAGTACATCGGGATCCTGACCTACTCTGGGGAGGGCAAGGAGACAGGAAAAGCTCTGAGAGTGAGTGTTTAAGGTGAGCAGGTTAGCAAGTGAATGGAGAGGAAAAGAACATTCTAGGATCTGACATGTCAGTATGACGGGAAGTACAGGCATTGGCTGTCTGGTGGGAACATGGGCTTTTGGGTTCATCTCAGCTGGGGCAGCATTTCTTTACCAGGCGCAGTTGAGACAGTTGGCATCTCCGTTTTGCAGGTGAAGACATTGAGGTTCACAGATGGGTAACAGCTGGCCTAAGACTTCAGTTAGTAGTAGGCGTAGCAGGACGCACAGCTGATGTGAGTTCAGGCCCACACCACTCACCACCATACATTCTCTCGTCGTTACCAAGAGTCCCATCTGCAGGGCCTTGCTTTTCACAACAATAAGCAGTTTTGAGTTTTTCCTTTATTCCTGACTTTCACTCTGTTCTTGAGGAAAATAATGTGTAATGAGCACTGATCTCATGCCAGATGCCCTGTTAAGCAAGTCATATTCACTGACTCATTTAATCTCAGTGGTGATGTAAGGCTTAACACGGCCACTCTGAAAGTAAGAAAACAGGAAGGGTAGTAGCACACCTGGTCAGTTGCAAGTCGCAGGCAGAACTGGAGCTGTGTTCTCTGCCTGTATCCCAACCCCTCTGCTATTCTCTAAGGAGTAGGAGCATGGGTGGGAGGGCGTGAGGATTCAATGTCCTGGGGCCCTTAAGCCACTGGCCCTGGTTGCAACTCTGCTGGTCTCCCTCCACCAGTCGGACCCTTTGGGGCTGAATGCGACCCCACTGCCCCAAGACTCAAGCTTGGTGGAAACCCCCCCGGCTGAGAACAAGCCCAGAAAGCGGCAGCTCTCGGAAGAGCAGCCAAGTGGCAATGGTGTGAAGAAGCCCAAGGTGAGTGTCTGCAGCCAGGAACCATCTGCTGAGTGGCCAGCTCACACGGGGAGTCCACAGGCTCTCTGCGGGGGCTGGGCATCGGCAGGCTGGCCAGGAGGGGGGCCCGGGACATGGTTCACTAGGTGTGCATTGTTGGATGGAGCCTCTCTGGTAAATCTCCTGACCTGACACCTTTGTGACTTTCACTACAGATTGAAATCCCCGTGACACCCACGGGCCAGTCGGTGCCCAGCTCCCCCAGTGTCCCAGGAACCCCAACGGTGAAGATGTGGGGTACGTCCCCTGAAGATAAACAGCAGGCAGCTCTCCTCCGACCCACTGAGTGAGTCCCTGCTGACTGGCTCGGGGCCACCCATTGCTAATGCCAGCCTGTCCGGGACTGTAGGGTGTGGCATGGTGGGCAGGGCATCCCCATCACTCCTCTCTCTGCCCCAAGGGTCTACTGGGACCTGGACATCCAGACCAATGCTGTCATCAAGCACCGAGGGCCTTCAGAGGTGCTGCCCCCGCACCCCGAAGTGGAGCTGCTCCGCTCTCAGCTCATCCTGAAGCTTCGACAGCACTACCGGGAGCTGTGCCAGCAGCGAGAGGGTACCTGCCTCTGGGCCGTGGCTTCCTTTGTTTTTACCCACCTTCAGCAAGAGCCAGGCTTGGCCAGGCCAGCTTGGGGATGGCGGAGTGGGGGCCAGTGGTGAGCCACGATCATGCCACTGCATTCCAGCCTGAGTGACAAAGCAAGATCCTGTTTCAGAAAAACAAGAGTATCGCTGGGCGCGGTGGCTCAAGCCTGTAATCCCAGCACTTTGGGAGGCCGAGGCGGGTGGATCACGAGGTCAAAAGATCGAGACCATCCTGGTCAATGTGGTGAAACCCTGTCTCTACTAAAAATACAAAAAATGAGCTGGGCATGGTGGCGCGTGCCTGTAATCCCAGCTACTCAGGAGGCTGAGGCAGGAGAATTGCCTGAACCCAGGAGGCGGAGGTTGCGGTGAGCCGAGATTGGGCCATTGCACTCCAGCCTGGGTAACGAGAGCGAAACTCCGTCTCAAAAAAAAGAAAAACAAGAGTATCTATACCTTAGGATTGTCACAAGGAGTAAGGAGTAAGTGAAATGGATAATTATTCTTTTTTTTTTTTTTTTGAAGATGGGGTTTTACCACGTTGGTTGGGCTGGTCTTGAACTCCCGACCTCAGGTGGTCTGCCCACCGTGGCCTCCAAAGTGCTTGAATTACAGGCGTGAGCCACCATGCCTGGCCATGGATAAGTATTAAATAAAATTTAGTTTTTAATTTTTTTAAGAGGATCTCGCTGTGTTGCCCAGGTGTGTCTTGAACTTCTGGGCTCAAGCCGTCTGCTTGGCTTGGCCTTCCACAGTGCTGCGATTACAGATGTGAGCCACCATGCCTGGCCTAGTTTCTAATTCTTTTTTTTTTTTTTTTTTTAAAGACGGGTTTTCACCATGTTGGCCAGTCTGGTCATGAACTCCTGACCTGGTGATCCACCCATCTTGGCCTCCCAAAGTGCTGAGATTACAGGCGTGAGCTACCACGCCCAGCCTCTAATTCTTATGATTAGTAAATGAACCTGTTTAACTCTGCCCAAATACATAATCCTCTGGCTTCTCCCCTCTATTTTTTTTTTACATTATGTAATATTTTCTATTCTTTTCTTTTGAGACAAAGTCTCACTCTGTCACCCAGGTTGGAGTGCAATGGTGTGACCACAGCTTCAACCACCTGGGTTTTAGTGATCCTCCCACCTCAGCCGCTTGAGTAGCTGAGACGCCCAGCTAATTTTTTTTTTTTTTTTTTTGTAGAAACAGGGTCTCACTCTATTGCTCATGCTGGTCTCGAACTCCTGGGCTCAAGCGATCCTTCTACCTTAGTCTTCCAAATTGCTGAGGTTATAGGTGTGAGCCACTACACCTGGCTACTTACTAACACTATAAAACCAGTGATTTTTAGAATATATTTTGGGAAATACAGCCTAGAAGCTTCTGAAGTGGGACTGTGTCTTCCTCACTACCAAATGTGATGCTTCCTGTATGTGCCAGCCTCCAAGTGGGGCTGCTTGACTAAATCTAGGCCTTCAGCAGCTCTCCTGTCCTCCAGGCATTGAGCCTCCGAGGGAGTCTTTCAACCGCTGGATGCTGGAGCGCAAGGTGGTGGACAAAGGCTCTGATCCCCTGTTGCCCAGCAACTGTGAACCAATCGTGTCACCTTCCATGTTTCGTGAAATCATGAACGACATTCCCATCAGGTACAGCCCCACAGCTGGGGATGACCCTGGGCCATTTGGTTTCTGTGCCCAGTCACGTATAGAAGGTCTCTAACTCTGTCCACTCTCTAATGCAGGTTATCCCGAATCAAGTTCCGGGAGGAAGCCAAGCGCCTGCTCTTTAAATATGCGGAGGCTGCCAGGCGGCTCATCGAGTCCAGGTTTGCCTCTGTTTCCTGCCCCGGGAAAGATGGGTCTGTGATCAAAGTGGGATGTCGTAGGCCATCTGGCCTAGTCTCAGGCAGGGGTGTCATTGCTCTTGGTGGCAGAAGTGGGGCCAGCTCCCAAAGGCAGAACAGGGGCTGCAATGTAAGCCTAGGGCTTGCCGCCCAGCAAGCCCCTGAAGTGGGAGGAGGAGGGTGGAGCCAAGCCATCACTTTCTTCCGCCCTTGACTGGCAGGAGTGCATCCCCCGACAGTAGGAAGGTGGTCAAATGGAATGTGGAAGACACCTTTAGCTGGCTTCGGAAGGACCACTCAGCCTCCAAGGAGGACTACATGGTGAGTGGGCCCCTGGGTGAGGAGGCCAGTTTTAGGGCTCCGTGGCCACTTTCTCCAGGAAGCCTGTCCAGGCTGGGCCAGGCCTCCCCCAGTGGCCTCTTCTTGTGCAGTACAGCAGACCTTTGATGTTCATCAGTCCCCAAACTTATGACTGGGGAGATGTTTCTCTAGGCTCCTGGCTTTCTCCCAAAGAACATTTCCGTTACCAATCTTAATGGAGTCTTATGCTTGGCCACACACCACAGGTAGCTGCCTTTCAACCTAATAAATGTTCAGCATCTCCCTTGAGTAGAGTTTTGGAAACAGATTGACGGCCTGCTTTTTCTTGGGTGTGTGTTCATATCGTAGTTAAGAACTGCCATCAGATTCAATTCCCCACTCTTAATGTGTCCAAAACAATTCTGTTTTCTGGCCAAAACCTATCACTTCTTAAACCTCTCCACCAGCACTAGCAATGGGCTTTCTTTTCAGGACCATATTTCACAAGAGACAAGGTTTCGCACTTCACGATAGTAACTGTGTACTTGACACGTAGAGAGTGACAAAGGTAGGTGTACTCACTAGCCAGAGTGACTCATTCTCACTCTTCAGTTTTACACGTGTGATTCAGCGAAATCACAAGTCCCGACAGTCATCTTTGCAAGTAGCTGAAAGCTCAAATCTCAAGTCTGCAGCGGCCAAGCACCCCGTTTTGTGATTGTCTTTCCCCAGTAGACTGCAAACGGTGTAAGGTGGGACCGTGCTGGTTTGTCTGGTTTTCCGGTAATTATCATGGGATCTGGCAGTGTAACCCCAACAACAGCTACTGGCATTTATTGTACAATTATTGTATGCCAGGCGCTTGGTAAGCCCTTAAGGGAAATGATCACATTTAATATTCAAACTGCCCTGTTAGGTATCTTGTGTCCCCTTGACACATGAGGAGTAAGTGACTCAGAGAAGCCAGGGGACTTGTCGGAGTGACACAGCTAGTCAGCGGCAGAGCTGGTTCAGAACAAGGACTGCTGGACTCCAACAGCCCTGTGCTTACCTGCCAGCCAGCTGAACCCCTTTGGCCTCCACTAGTGCTCTGACCCAGAATGTCTCCTCCAGGATCGCCTGGAGCACCTGCGGAGGCAGTGTGGCCCCCACGTCTCGGCTGCAGCCAAGGACTCCGTGGAAGGCATCTGTAGTAAGATCTACCACATCTCCCTGGAGTACGTCAAACGGATCCGAGAGAAGCACCTTGCCATCCTCAAGGAAAACAACATCTCAGGTAGGGGAAAGGTGGAGCAGGAGGGCAGCTGTGATGCCATCAGCCCTGTACCCTGATGGAAGGGACAAATGAGGCTGAGCCTCAAGGCCATGGACTGGTTTGGGGCAGAACCTGCTGTGTCCTTTGGCTAGACTTCTCTGGGAAACAGGGAGAAATGACAAAGGGAGAACCAGATGGTGGTGGTGAAAGGCTGGGAGCTGTAGTTAGGTGTACCTGAGTTTACATCCGTTCTCTGCAAGCCTGACCTTCCCCAGACTGAAGTATAGCACCTGGTGGTAGGATTGTGAGAGTACTTAGAGGTAACTCAAACGGCTTGGCCCAGAAAGATCCCCAAATAAGGGATCATCACTATTACGATGATGGCGATGCAGTTCTTGTACTTCTGCCGGACAGCAGGACCCCTAGCCCTGAGGCTACTTGCCTACCAGCCCCAAGGCAGGACAGATGGGGGCCTGCTTCAGTACTGAGGGTGTTGACACAGGCCACCAGTTTCTGCCCTAGCGATTTGCTTGGCTGGTTTCTTTTTATGGCTTTTTGTTCCCTTTTTACTGAACTGGGCAACAGCATACTGATCTGTGGGATGGGACTTCCCTCTCTTGGTGCAAAGTGTGTGGCACCCAGCAGCTGCAGCGTGAGAATGAGCAGTGCGGTCCCTCACTGCTCTCCCTGCCCACAGAGGAGGTGGAGGCCGCTGAGGTGGAGCCCCGCCTGGTGTACTGCTACCCAGTCCGGCTGGCTGTGTCTGCGCCCCCCATGCCCAGTGTGGAGATGCACATGGAGAACAACGTGGTCTGCATCCGGTACAAGGGAGAGATGGTCAAGGTCAGCCGCAACTACTTCAGCAAGCTGGTAAGAGCTGCGGGAGGAAGGCCTTAGCTGATGGATGAGTTGGGGCCTGGGATCTTTCCTGGGCAGTCTCCAGCAAGAGGTCAGTGATGAGGACATGAGAGAGCACTGCTGAAGGCCACTCCTCTCTGTCCCACCCCACAGTGGCTCCTTTACCGCTATAGCTGCATTGATGACTCTGCCTTTGAGAGGTTCCTGCCCCGGGTCTGGTGTCTTCTCCGACGGTACCAGGTAAAGGCCTGGGGCAGCGGGGAGGGCTCCCCAGGAGGGAACAGAGAGGCTGAGCCCCAGGCGCTGACTGTGGCCACTTTGCAGATGATGTTCGGCGTGGGCCTGTATGAGGGGACTGGCCTGCAGGGATCACTGCCTGTGCACGTCTTTGAGGCCCTCCACCGCCTCTTCAGCGTCAGCTTCGAGTGCTTTGCCTCACCTCTCAACTGCTACTTCCGCCAGTACTGTTCTGCCTTCCCTGACACAGATGGCTACTTTGGCTCCCGCGGGTGAGAGCCAGGGGCTACCCTTTACCCAGGCCAGGGAGGTGGTCTCCAGAGCACAGGGCCCACCTTAGCCGACTGCTTCCTGGGCTGTAGTGTGAGGCAGGCTTGGGTGAGTCCCTGCCTCCACCTCTTACCAACTATGTGACCTTGGACATGTTGCTTAACTTCTGGGAGCCTGAGCTTTTCTGGCTCTGGGCAGGCATGTGACACCCCTAAGCCGGCCTGTGGGTTTCTCAGTGAGTCAGCTCAGGGTAGAATAGGAACACGTGGTCCCAGGCCCTGAGAGGAGTGAGAAGTGGGGCCACAGACCTCAGAGGCCTTACAAACTAGGGGTGCGGGTGAGCAGACAAGAGAAGGTAATGCTGTCTCCAGGAGGAAGAATGGCCAGGACCTCAAGGTCTGTAGCTCAGCAGCTGGGGATCTTGGGTGCAGCTTCTGCCATGGTGGTGGCAGGCTCAGAACTGGATCCCAAGTCCAGCTTGGTGAAAACGGCATCCCAGCCTGAGCCTCACTCACTGTCCTCATCCATTCAGTGGAGATGATCATGCCTTATGCCGCAATGAATTAGGGTGAATGCCGGCCTCTGGCTAGGCTATCTCCTCAGTGTGGTTGCCTAGGGTTGGGGCTGGTACCTGTTTCTGGTTGAGGGACTGGGTCCTGATGGGACTTAGAATGCTCACTCCTGTCCCCAGGCCCTGCCTAGACTTTGCTCCACTGAGTGGTTCATTTGAGGCCAACCCTCCCTTCTGCGAGGAGCTCATGGATGCCATGGTCTCTCACTTTGAGGTGGGTACGCTGTGAGGGTGAGGGGTGGGCAACGGGCAGGATTGCCAGCAACCTGGGAGGCAGCCCTGACACCCACCCTGTGTCCCCTCCCACAGAAACTGCTTGAGGGTTCACTGGAGCCCCTGTCCTTCATCGTGTTCATCCCTGAGTGGCGGGAACCCCCCACACCAGCTCTCACCCGCATGGAGCAGAGCCGCTTCAAACGCCACCAGCTGATCCTGCCTGCCTTTGAGCATGAGTACCGCAGTGGCTCCCAGCACATCTGCAAGAAGTGGGTGCCAGGGAGGGCAGGGGAAAAGAGGCTGGACTGGTCAGGCTGGGCTGACCAGGCCAGGCCCAGCCCCACCCTAAGCCGTTGTCTTTGCCTGCAGGGAGGAAATGCACTACAAGGCTGTCCACAACACGGCCGTGCTCTTCCTACAGAACGACCCTGGCTTTGCCAAGTGGGGGCCGACGCCTGAACGGCTGCAGGAGCTGAGCACTGCCTACCGGCAGTCAGGCCGCAGCCACAGCTCTGGTTCTTCCTCATCATCCTCCTCGGAGGCCAAGGACCGGGACTTGGGCCGTGAGCAGGGCCCCAGCCGTGAGCCTCACCCCACTTAACATACCCTGCGGGGAGGAGGAGCCCCAGGGGTGCTGGTGTGGACTGCTGGGACTCGGGGCCCCTGGGGTGGCAGCGAGACCCCGGCTGTCACTGATACACCGAGATTCTGGCTTTGCCAAGGCTCCCCTCCCTGCCCATCCCCAACTCCTCACCTCAGACTCCAAGTCCCATGTATATAGGTCCTGATGCCTTCCCAACCCCACCCCTCACCCTGTTCCCACCTTGTTTCATTTGTAAAAGGAAATACAGAAACCCCCTCCCCCCCCAAGAATGTGTGAGGGTCTTGAGGGCAGAGAAGACTCAGGCAGCTGGAGCTACTTCTGGGACCACACTCCCTTTCCTCCAAGCGTCTCCTCTTCATGGCCCCTGGGGTCTCACACAGCCGGGTCCTTGGTGGCCTCTGCCTGTGCTCAGGAGGTCTGAAGAGTCCAAGGCCCTGCACCCCCTAGTTGCAAACCCCACTCGCAGGGCCTGCATGAATGCCCCCGGGGATCAGAGCACAGGAAGCTGTGCCTGTCCCCAAACCGAAGTCAGACTCTGGCTGGCCTTGGATCCTCACAGTGAGTGGACAGCTGGGTGTGCTTCACAGTTGAGGCTCAGGAGAGCAGCCTCAGAGCCACCAGGGCCTTGGTGCTGTGTGGCCCTCTGAGGAGGGCCTATAGGCACAGAGCGCATGCTCCCGAGGGCCCAGGGAGGAAGCAGGTCTGAAGGTGCTGGCTGGGGCTCTTGGTGGCTCAGCCGCCTCTCGTTGCCAGGCCTCTGTAGCAAGGCTCTGCCCTGCCGGTGGATCACCGGACTTAAGAGAGGCAGGGCAGGGCACGCTGTGGAGCCACACAACCTCTACCTCACGGGACCTGGCCTGGTTCAGGCTGCAGCAGAAAGCAGACAAGGCAGGCTGGTCAGGACTGGACTCCGGTCCCTTTATTGAGACTGAGAGACCAGTGGGTCTATCCAAACAAAAATAAATTTCTCTCTCAAAGCCTGCCCGCAGGCTGGGGCACACAGCACATCCTGGCTGGGGCCCATGGCTACCCTTAACCCCAACACAACAGGTCTGGCTCCCTAGGAATGACAGGATACTGGCTATCCAGTATCTAGAGATCCTAAATGAAGAGGGAGGTGACTCCTGGTGGTCCCCTACCCCCAGGAGGGCTGGCCTCAAATCCGTGATCTGTGTTGGGCCCTCGGGGCTCAGTCATCGGCCAGGGTGATGACGTCGTATTCGATGCCCTGGTGCTGCAGCTGCTGAATGTGTTCAGGCACTGCCTCCTCTGTGCCAAACAGGCCCTGGGCTTGAGCCATGGCAGCATCAGCCACTGCTGCCAGAGGAGGGGAAAGCATGGTGAGCTGGAGGCTCAGGAGCTGGGCCGGAACCCAGCCCCATGCTCCTCAGGGTCCAGCCCCGTACCTGTGACAGCTGAGTGTGCTGCGGCCTCAAGTTGAGCCTGTGTGACTAGCTGCTGGCCTGGCGACACAGGCACATACTGGATCTGGAGGAGAGAAGCTGATAAGATGCTGGCCTGGAAAAACCCTGCCTGTGCCGCGGGTCTCCCTGTCCCCCTAGGGCCCTACCTGGGACTCCTGAAGGAACGGGGCTCCTTGTTCATACTGGATGTGTGTGATCTGGCCCTCCTGTACCTGCAGAAAGGAAGCCAACCTGTGATCCTGGAAAGAGGTCGTGCAGCCCTTTGCCACACCCCACCCTCATCCCAGGCCTGACTTACCTGGATGTGATGGCCCTCAGGGACCACAACGTACTCCTGGGGGAGCAGGTGCTGGACACCGTCCTGGGAGATGATGTATTGCACCTGTGGGAGGAGGGTGGCGAGGCGACAGGTGCTGAGGCCCCACCCACCAGGAGCTCAGCTAAGAAGGCAGAGTGGAAGACCAGGGACCCCACCAGCAACAATGCAGTTGTTGGCGAGCATGGACCCCAGGAGGGGTGGTTTGGGAAGTGTCACTCCTCCCTGAGGTTGGTTCTGGGGAGGGAGGGTAGATGGTCACAGCTGAGGGGATCAACGGTAGCGTACCTGGTTGTCAGAGGTTACCAGGTGCTGTACGGTCTGGCCATCTGCTGTGGTGATCTCTTGGATGTAGGTGGCTTCCTCCTGCCAGGACCAAAGTCAGCTCTAGCGTCAGTTCTCTACCCCAACCCCTGCCTGTTACTGGCCAGAGGGCCCCCAACCCTGACTCTTACTTGATTGGTCACTGTCTGTTCCTGGGCGACAATGATGTGCTCCTGGCCCAGTGCCTGCTGCAGCCGCTCTGGGCCCAGGACCCCGTGACTGGACTGGAGTGCAGCTGGGCAGAAAGGAGAGGAGGCTCACCTGGGGTCCAGGAAAACCTGCAATGCCCCAGCCTCTACTGTGCCCAGAGGTGCTTTTTGGGGCAGTGGCCCAAGTCTGGATCTATCCCGGTGCCCACACTGTGGCCCCAGGGGCAGCTCACTGTGCAGGGTGGCCAGTGTTTCATCATCACTGTTGAGAATGATGGTCTGGGCTGGGGTCTGGGTAGCGGCCCGGGATGTAGGGGTTCCTGACTTCCTCCCATCAGGACTGTGCAGTCGCTGGATGTGGAACTTCAGGTGTCCGTTACGGTTGAAACTGGGGATGAAAGGTGGCTCGGGTTAGCTCCCCCATACATGCCCAGCAGTCTCCACCCACTGGTATCTGGCTCACCGCTGCCCACAGAGGTGGCACGCAAAAGGCTTCTCCTTGGTGTGAGTCAGCATGTGCCGCCGCAGGTCCTTCTTGTTCTTGGAGGCAAAGCTGCACTGGCTACACTGGTGGGGCCGCAGGCTTGAGTGCTGCGCCATGTGTGCCTGCAGAGAGGGCCGAGTTGGGGGCATCAGCTGGGTCAGGATAGATGGCAACAAACTGCCAGGTCCCTGCCAACAGCTGGTCAGGGAACTAGGCAAAGTGGACCTGGGAAACCAAACTCCTGGGTGCAAACAAGAAGCTGGGTAGAAAGGCCAAGCCAGATCAACATCTGGTGCTGCTGTGTCCCAAGAGTGAAAGGCTATAGGTTCCATCCTTATTAGGTCAGTTGGATAATCTCAGTTTACCCATATGTAACTTACAGGTGTGGATAAAGGGACCTGTGCAGGTCCCATCGAGCCCTGATATTCTAGGGCTGAGGCCTGCTTCACGGGGCCTCTGTCTCTGTCTGGAGAGAGAGGCCCTAGGCCCTGCTTCCCTCTGACTCCGGGGAGGATGCAGTGCATGATAGGATATGAAAACTGGAAATCTTCAGGCAAACAGGGAGGCCCCAAGCGGGGCTGCGAACCTGCCCCAGAACCTGCCTACTCGCCTGCTTCATACTGGCTCCCTAACCACCTTGAACCTCTGTGCCCTCAGTATTCTAGACCAGTGGTCCCCAACCTTTTTGGCACCAGAGACTGCTTTTATGGGAGATAATTTTTTGCCAGCACGTGCAGGGTGACGGTTTTGGAATGAAACTTGCAGCTCAGATCATCAGGCATTAGTTAGATTCTTCTACGGAGCGTGCGACCTACATCCCTTGTATGCACAGTTCAGTGGGGCTGTGCTCCTATGAGTCTCTAACGCAGCTGCTATGACAGGAAGTGGAGCTCAGGCAGTAATGTGCGCTCACCTGCTGTGTGATCTGGTTCTTAACAGGCCACGGATGTGGCCCAGGGGTTGGGGACCCCTGTTCTACACATTCGAGTCTCCCTAGCTATGCCTCTGTCACACAGCTCTGTGCCTTTGCTCCTAGAGGCCCAGCTCAGCCATCCCTCCTGTGGCATTTTCCCCAGCACATCCAAGTTCAAATGACTTGCTCTCTGCCACGCACCCTTGGTTCACACTCGAAACACTGTCTGGCATTAGTCACATTGTGTCTGGTTTGCCTCCCCACCAGACCAAGCTTGCTGAGAGGTGGAACCTTGCTGAGTCATCTCTAACCCATCTCATTCCCTCAGAGGAGACCAGGGGATCTGGCTTGAAAGGGCACTTTAAATAAAGGTTTGTTATACAAACAAGTGGCCCAATGAATGACAGCAAAAACACAGGGGCAGCCAGCACCTACCCGGACCTCAGGCCACTGGCCAGCACTGAAGGGGCAGTCGGGGCACTTGAAGGCACCAGGCCCAGCGTGGGCCCGCTTGTGACTCTCCATCTCAGCTCTGCCAGGGAAGGCCTCAGCACAGATCTTGCAGGAAAACTTCTTTGATGCTGCAGTGCCTGCGGATGGTGGTGAGGTGGGCACTGCTGGGCCCAAGGCTTTGCTGGTGGCAGGAGGTGGGGAGGCAGAGCTCTGGGGGTCCCCTATCCGGTGGGTCTTGGCTGGAGATGGGGGCTCAGGGCCATCTCTGGGCAGCCCTCCACACTGCAGTAGGGGCCATTTGGCACCAGAGGCCAGGGCATCTGGACTTGGGAAGGAGATGGAGCCATCTGCGGAGAGCTGTGGAGAGACGGAGCATGAGGTGCTAAGAAGGCAAGGGAGGTAGGGGAGTTGGGGCGGGGCGGGGGCTGGCCTTCCCAAGCCTCACCTCGACATGGTGCAACTGGGTACCATCAGCAGCCATGATGTAGTGGGTGCCAGCTTCTTTTAGGGGGTCAGTCACAACCACAGCCTGGGCTGCCTCTCCTGGGGGCTCCTCGCTGTGGGCACAGAGGTTTTAGGAGAAGATGGAGGGCCACAGGAGCCCCCTTCCCCAAGCAACAGGCATCAACTGAGGAGTGACTGTCACCACAGATGGACTCAAATCAGAAGGGCCCAGAGTTCAACTGTGGCTTGCCCTGTTACCAAATTGCCCTCTACTGTCTCTTCTGTAAATGATTACAAGTCAGGCATAAGTCCTTCTCAAAAACTGGTAATCCTTGTCCTCCTTGGTAAATGTGGTGAGGTGAGGGGCACACAGTGAGGCAGAGGGGTCTAGCCCAAGTCTGGCCAAGTCAAGCAGGACAGAGCAACCAGGCCAACCAGTAGCAAACAGTGAATCCACCACCAGGAGCTAGAGGAGGAGGCAGGGCTAATAAGGACCTGCCACCCAGGTGCTGGCCAAGGGCACAGGCCCAGGGACCCTGACTCCCAACCCAGCTGAACAATTTGACACTTGGATTCAGAACTTCCTCAGAAGGCCTAAGAGTTTGGTGAACACAAACATACCTGCCCAAGCTATTTCACTGTAGAGATGCCAAGTGCAGGTGCCAGGCCTCAAATGCTGGCAAAAAAAGCCTGAGCTTGATCAGAATGTCAGAACAGAACACCGGGATCATCCAAGCCAAAGAGCCCT